GATTCCGTCGAGGTCGGGAGGTAATTCTCTAGTAAATAGTTGATCCTTGATATTACTATTGAGAGAATTAAGGAATGCACTACGTAGTGCCGTCTCACCCCAACCGGATTCCTCCACGATGATGCGGAATTGAACGGAAAACTTGGCCACCGTCTCTTCACCCTGCCGGATTGAAAATAGTGTTTGAGCGGCCTCCTCCTGCAGCAAAGGATAATCAAAGACCTTGAGAAAGTCTCTGATGAAGTCAGTAAACGGCAAGGCCTCGACAGGACGTCGGCGGAGGTAGGCGTTGGCCCACTGGAGTGCTGGACCTTTCAGAGAGGCAACAATATATGACACACGTGAAGAGTCAGAATAGTAAGTTACCGGAGCAAGGCTGAATGCCAGATTGCACTGAAGCAGAAAACCACCACACTTCCTTGTGTCACCCTCAAAAAACTCTGAAGGCTTGATGTCAGGTTCTCTGATATGTTGACCGTGCCGGTTTGCTGTAGGGTCCATGGTTGTGGGCTGTTCAAGAAAGAGAGATGGGTTATCATTTGTCCTTTGTTGAAGAGAAAAAACACATTACCCAATTCTAAGAGATTTTCTTGAATAGTTTCTTGTTGTTTCAGAATGTACTGTAGAGCTAGAATCTGTGAAGCTCCTCTATGACTACTTCCTGGTTGAAGTGGGTCCTCCCCAGTCGTGCCAGAAGGGTCAGTTTGGCTGGGACAATCTATCATGTTGTCATATGTAGGACCCCGAAGTGGCAGACCGAGGAAGGACACGACAACCAGATATACAAAATAAGTGTTCTTTATTTACAGGTGAGTTGGAGAGACGAGCTGGAAGAGAATGGTGGAGAGGTGAGTATCCAATATTGTTGACTTAGATTCTTGAGATGAACAAAGTCGTCTTACTTGTTGTTTTAGGGGAAGGCGCCAAGGGAGAGGTGAGGTCCTAGTTTTGATGGAGATGAATAGGTGAGACACGGTGGAGAGAGGAACAGGTAGACCCAGTAATTTGTTTAATCGCTGATGAGACCGGACTCTGCTGCTTTTGTAGGTGCACCGTGGAGTGCTGGACGAGGACGGTGGAAGGACTTCAGAGGAGCAGGACATGGAGGTCCTGGAGAGGAAAGTCGTCGATCAGAATCAGCTGTAAGGGAACAGGTTAGTGACTGGACACAAGTTTACCCATAGGCAGAAGTTGTCCCAGCACTGGAGAGATGTCTGGCCGCAGCTTCAGTAGGCAACCACAATCAGTCCTCCTTAGGAAAACAGCAGGTGGATCTCATCAGGGTAATTAGAGATGAGCTGTGGAGAGAGTGAATGCAGACAGGCCAGGGAGAAACCAGGGATCCTACACCAACAAATGACAGGACTAACAGATGTTCTTATATACACAAACAGGACATGAGACAAGGGTGATCCAAATCAGACAATTAAAGCAAAACACAAGGGAGTACAGACAGGGGAAGGCCCACTAGATGGTGCCATCCCTAGAACATTTTTCTCTGTACGATAAATATGCATTTAAATACCGGTATTTCCTTTTGAGCTCACATCCGACCACGGAGCAGAGACAACAGAAGTGGTTCTTCCCCCTCCCCTTCCGTCATGATAGCTCAGTGGAGAAGCTGTCAGATTTATTTTTAAAGCAGACAGTCTGTCAAACATATTTAAATAAAAGTTTTTAAAAAATCTTTCTGTGTACGGTAAATATGTGTTACCAGTATCTCATTTAAGCTCTACACGGTAGAGTTGCATTTGGGTCCAAAAAATCTGTTCCGACCCAGCCCCAGCCCGTAATCATCATCGCTGAACCCTACTCAATCCAACAGATTAACAGTAATTACAGGTCCAAAGCCGAAAAAGAACTCCAACATTTTTAATAAAGCTTTGACTGCTTATACCGCCGACTATTATTAATGGTCGGTGGACTCGCGCGGCTGAGTAAGCGGGGCAGAAGATCGGAGCTGAGGGGGTATTTGTCCATTCATGGTCGTCAAATTGCATTAAATGCTTCCCCTGCTTCTGCCTGCATTAGACCCTACTCTGACGTGTCAGATATTTTGTGATCTCACCTGTTTGAGTCATCGGCCGCACACGTCCGCTGAGTACAGTGAGTGAATGAATGTCCATTTGGGCGATGGATCGCTGGCAGTAGTCCATCTGAAGCTTAACTGAACTTTTTACTTCTTTCAAGGCCAGTCAGCACACGGTCAAATGGCCGTGTGAGGCTGGAGATTGTATGGCAAGCCATGTTGCCATATAATTTGATCGTCAGCCACGCACATCCACTGATGTAATCAAAAGCCTGACAATGACCCGGCCCGCATATTAAGCGCATTAATATGGACCAACCTGGCCCTAAGCCGACACAGGCGGGGCCGGGCTCCGAGTTCAGGTTAAAAATGACAGCTCTACTGCACGGAGCGGAGGAGACAATGGGAGGCAGGGGCTTTCCCCCCTTCCTCCCTCCTCCTCGTATGAGCTCTCCTGAGCAGAAATCACACCAAATTTACTTAGAAAGCACATTTAAAAACAGCCACTTTTACCAAAAAATGTTAAACAATAAAAATCAATGGTACTAATTTAATTAATATTGACTGTATTTTACCGGTACTACTTAACTTCTGGTCACACGACCTTGATAATAATTGTGGGTAAAATTAACCGGTATATAATTTTCAAATAATTTTGGTTACGTAGGTGTTTGGCACTGTTCTGTTCAGTGATTATTCTTAGATAGTTATTGTGTTCAATCTGTAGGTTGAATGGTTGTAACCATGAGTCAAACAGTGAAGCATCATGAAGACTTATGATGATCATGCAGTCTGAATGTGTTGCAAGCAAGCTATACTATGTGAAACACCATCTGCTGGCTGATTCTTGTATTACAACAAGAAAGCTGCACACAACTGGAGGAGGCTGGGGCATAGATCCTGACAATGAACTGTGGATGCCCGCAGCTTAATAACCGGAGCGTCTTATGTACAAAATTATGATTTATTTATTTATTTAGTACATGCGGCTTAGAGACAAGTGTGTTCTGTAGCCCGAGAATTACGATAGTACAGACAAATACAGTAGTTCTGAGCTACCACCACACCAAAGTTGAACTTAATATCTGTAAAACTGATGGGATTACAAGTATATCTGTGTTGGGTAACATCAGTCAGCTGTGGTGGCCATTTTGAACTGTGAGTACTCCAAAAGATAATCATTTGTAGAAGTATGTTTAGTCATTACATTTTGAGGGTTTCAGTAAGATCTGTCAAATGGGTCATGAAATATTTTGCTTACAGACCAACAATTTATCTAATAATCAATGGCAGTTTATAAAAATGTAAGCTCTGAAAGTCTGTAACAGGACTGAAGCAGCACATTTTCCTTCCATAACTTAAATTAAAAAAGCATAATCTCTGACAGTCAGCTGCCATGACAGGTAGATCATCACAAACACGTTCTTCCTCTGTAATTACAGAATAAGTGTTAATTGAAAAGCTAAATTTCCTGCTGGATGGAGGCTCGACAGTTAGCCTTGAGGTGATCTAATACAAATGCAAACGTTGATTATTTTCAGATAAATGAGACTAAACAGTGCAGAATAATCAAGTCTATAGAGCTCCCCTACTGTGAGAAGCCTCGACAGTCTTCAGAATATACAGTCCACTGGTTCAACAAGAAGTGCGTCAAAAATCACATCAGCCTGATTAAATTAGTTTCAGCTGTTAGGTTCTATTTACTTTTCACCTCAGAAAAAAAACTAAAGGCCTAACATTTTTAAAGAATGTATATTGCCCATCACCTTTAATGTCAGTGTTGTAAATATAAGATTATGTTATGTTGAAGAAAAGACAAAGTTTTAGTCCTTGTTGAACCTTGAAAATAACAATATTATGCATGACGTATCTTTGATGTCCCCTGTCGCTGAGGGATTTGAATAGTGAATGGTTTGTAGTTTTTGAAATGTCAAGTGTTTTTCTGGACTGGAATTGAACAGGGAATACAAGTAAACCTCAATGATTTTGGTGCAAGACATTCAAGTGGGTAAATGTTACACTGTGTAGAAGAACAGGGATAGTTTTTTTTTGTTTGTTTGCTTGTCCAAGGCAAAAAAAAGAAAAAAAAAAGTTTTTATGGCTCAATCATCCAGGTAGATAACAAAGAAAGGTTAAATCATGTCATCTGACAGAGCAACGGATCCTGGCAAGTGGGGGGAGTAATTTTATCCACCACCAGATGCAATGGCGAAGCAAGGGATGGTCAAACGTGGCCTTGGCCGCCAAAGATTAATCTTTGGCCACCCCAAGGGCCACAGCTGGTTTACATATTTATATGGTGGTGGCCATCTTGAATTTTGGCGAGGCAACTCATTTTTTTGTTAGTGGCCTTTCTTAAATGCAGCCACACACCAAAATGGAAGTCAACACAATGCTTATTTTCAAAGTTATCCAGCTCACAACATGCACGACAGAGAGTATATTCAATGTTCCCTCTTTTCTCCCCAACAGAGGACAAAAAATAAACATAGAAAATTGATGATTACCATACATTTTTATGACGGGCCCAAATCCAACATTTCTGTAGATTTTTCTGCAGCTACTTTTGAGCACAAGAATGTTATGTTTTAATTTTATATATCTGCTTTTTTACATAGTAACAATCTGCACTCAGCTCTAGGAAAAACATTTTCTTGGTACAATCATGGAAGCTATTTGAATCCAACCCTTGTCAAAAAGTGTTGTTGGCAAATTTTACTCAGTTGTAAAGCTTTTTAAAAAAGGGCCAGACATAACACACCTTGGAGAGCTACTTCCACAGTTTAAACACAAAGAGTTATGAAAGCCTTCCTGCTGTTAGGAAGTATTTTGTTACTTTTGGGCAGGTGCTGGGAATAAAAAAAAACATATTTAGACTATTTGGCCCTGAGCTGCAATAAAACCCTTAGAGAACATGCAGTAAATGGTTACGATTGGACAAGCTGTTGTAAGGTTTGATTCTGAGTCCTACCCTGAGTGTGTGGTGCTCATGGGCCAGATGGGACAGGATGTGGGGGTTGAGCACAGCAGCCTCCAGGAAGCAGCTCCAGAGAGCAGCCAGCTGAGAGCAAAGCTGGTTCACATCCTTGCTGATCTGCTCGGCCACCTTCTCATGGTTTTCCTGTAGCTGAGAGAGACAAAAATCACTAAGCCATTTTTAACACTGTCTGTATGTGGGTAAAATATCTAATAAGCTAAAATTGTTATGGTAGTAGCTGAGAGTGCATACTCTGAACACTGACAGAATGTTGCATTGGATCAAATAAAAACATTTACAACAACAGTCGCTGAGTTGTGAAGAGTTACATCACAGACTGGTTCCTCCAAAAACACATTTTCAAAGATTTGGATGCATGGATGGATGGATGGATGGATAAAATAAAATATCATTCAGATCAGTGTATACAAGCAGTATCTGTAAGTTTGCAGTCGCTGAGGGATTTGAACAGAGAATGTTTGTAGTTCTATTTCGTATAGGCTTTGCCCTTTTGTAGAGGTTGGCTCCTCTACCCCTCCCTTCTCTGTTGTTTGCTCTCCCTAATTACCTTTCCACAGCTGCTGCCCATTACCTGGACCAAGTGGGGGAGATATTTAAGTTGGAGCTTCACTTCAGACCAGTGCCAGAACAAAGAACTACTTAGCTTCATGTTCCTGTGACCTACTGGCTGGCTGACTTCAAGCTCCCCATGGGTTTCCCTGCATGACAGCAGCAGTTCCTACACCACCATTACTCCTGTGTGCCTCACCTGGTTCCTGGATCTCCTATTCCCGAGTCCTCGTCTTCACCTCCTCTCCTGGTTCTCCACACCTACGCCCCGGCTCCCTTGGTTGCTCTGTAAATATATATTTTCCTCGTGAAAATACTCACCTGGTCGCACCGTGGATTATTGGATCCTGGTCCTGTCTCATGGATCTCACGCTCCTGGAACGACAACGACACGTAAGCCAATTTTTGGATTACTAAGTCTTCATTTCCAAAATCTCCTCTCAAGACGAATTGTCGTTCACCACCAATCTCCCCTCTGTTCCCACAGTGGATCCCTCCTGAT